ATTCTAGAAATAACTAAACGGTCAGTTCCGAAATATGCTCAATGACTTAGCAGACTTAGAGTAAGGATCCTGCAATGATAGAGTTATGCAACTCCATCCAGCAGATGTTCAGGTCAAACATGTCTTCTAACTCCTCCGACTGTCGTCCTAAATCTCCTCAACGCAGGAACTCACGTGGTCGATCTAAGTCCAAGCCACGTTCTCTGCAAAACCCTGACTGGTGCTGGTACCACAACACCTATGGCCAAGAAGCGAAGTGTTGCCGTAAGCGTTGTAACTTCCGAAATGTCTCAAAGTCTGTGGGAAACTATCCCGCCGACACGCGTTGGGGCAACCGTCGCCGGTGGCACTAGCCGCCTACTTTACATCCATGATGTGATCAGCCAGACTCGATATTTAGTCGACACAGGCGCCGAAGTCAGCGTCTTTCCTGCTACAGCAGCAGATCGACAGAAGGAACCTAATTTCAACTTACAGGCTGCAAATGGAAAACCAATTACAACTTTCGGTAGGAAATACGTCTATCTGAACGTAGGTTTACGCAAACCTATTCAGTAGATTTTCCTTCTCGCTGACGTCATAATGCCCATCATTGGCACGGACCTACTTAATCATCATGATTACTCGTAGACGTCCGCCGAAAACGACTGATTGACAATACTACTAGTCTGTCTATCAAAGACATCAACTACACAGGCCCCAGCTTGTCACTCGTTAAGATGAAAGCAATACTTGATCCAACTTTTCAACCTATTGTTGACAAATATCCGGAACTTAATTGCCCGTTGAACGACCTACCGTGCATAACCAGCAATGTTGTGCACCACATCATTTCCACAGGACAACCTTTGACATCTAAAGCACGACGATTAGCTCCTGACAAACTGAGAATCGCCAGGAATGAATTTGACCATATGCTTACCCTTGGCATCATTCGACCTTCGAATAGCCCATGGGCATCCCCACTTCATATGGTTCCGAAAAAGGATAGCAGTGATTGGCGACCCACTGGTGATTACCGGAGAGTGAATGCCAAACCAACCCCTGATTGCTACCTGTTGCCTCAAATACACGACTTGACGGCAACCTTATCCGGCGCGACCTTATTCTCCAAAATCGACTTGGTTAAAGCGCATAACCAAATCCCGATGGCAACAGAAGATATCCCGGAAACGGCTATCATTACGCCTTTCGGACTGTTTGAATTTCTACGTATGCCATTCGGCCTTCGGAATGCAGCTTAAACATTCCAACGCTTCATTGACGAAGTATTTCGCGGTCTCGACTTTGTAAACGCACACTTAGACGACTGTCTCATTGCCAGTCCAGACAAGGAAACTCACCTTAGGCACTTGGACTTGGCATTTGACAGGTTACGCCAACATGGTGTTACTATTAATATTTAAAAGTGTCAATTCGGTGTTGACTCACTCGACTTCCTGGTCCACACTATTGACTGCAAGGGCATTCGCCCTCTGGCTACCGAACCTTCTATCGAGCCTCCCAAGAAAATCCGTTCTGGACGCACCGTAGGGTTCCCAGAATATCTTCACACTTATTTGTCTTAACGAGGTCGTGTGATTCACGTAACTCATTCGTTTGTGGTACTATTTTTTTGACGTATCAATTGTTTTA